GTTTTTTACAATATATCTTTTTTATTTCTAAAATGCTTATCATGGCAGCAGAGGGTTGATTATTGCATTGATCACATATGGTCCCATGGGCATTCCACAAGACACTGTAAAAAAGAAAGCATGAAGAAGAGTTCCATAATGCTGTGTGCACTCAGGACATTTTAAAAATGGAAGAGAAATAGATATTAAACACCCTTTAATCACCTTGCACATTTAAGTAAGTGCCAACACCTCACCCCACCTACTACTTCTATACATTTTTCATAACTTATATCAATTGTTAAGATAAAGGAATTAAAAAAACCCCCAATAAAACTGTACACCACTTGCTGGATAAAAAAAAATTGCCAAAGTAAAAATTAAGTTTCCACAAAACCCCAATATTTATATTTGATATTTGTAGCATAGAATTATAATTTACAATTGCTTCCAGTTATAAATTACGCAAGAAGAATGTGAACCATAACTGAGAATAGTGTTCATCTGCTGATAGCTATTTTGTTATGAAATAGCTATGGATGTTGCATGTTCTAAAGTTTCCCCATATCAAAATCATTAAATGGAAAGCAAGCATGTTGTGAGAGAGGAAAAAATATACCTCATTTAACCATGTTCCTGAAGATAGTAGCTTTCTATGTTCTAGAATTTTTTTGGCACAGGTAAGCATTCACATAAACTCATAACATATATGTATGCTCATTCTGAAGGTTCACTTTAACCTACATTTTGTGAAATGACTACTATTAATGTTAGAAGCTGAAACAGTCTGCTTAAGTAAGCTACCTACAGCGTTACAAAAGACATCCCTGGAGAAATCTGAGACTTGTTTGTTTCATTTTATGTAGCAGTTCAAATGCATCACCACTAGAAGGTGCTCCGCTATCAGGAAGTTATGGATGTACCCCTCATTCACTTCCCAAATTTCAACATCCTTCTCATGAACTTCTGAAGGAAAATGGTTTTACTCAGCAAGTATACCACAAATATCGTCGTAGATGCCTAAATGGTAAAAATCTAATATTCTTTGTCATTTTTAATTGGAAGTAAGAACTTAAACAATGTTGAATTCTTATTTCCAAGAACTGCAGCATGTTCATTTCAACAAAATGTAAAATGCACTAGGTGAATAAACATTAATTTCTACCTAGCTCTTCAGTATGTTTTAGTGTTCCTTTTTCTGTTAATCTCTCAATACTACTGAGATTTCTTTTTTTAATTTTTAACTAATCACATGGGAAAAAATATTTATTTATTTATTTATTTTTCAAATTTATATAGCCACCCATCTCACAAACAAATGACTCTGGGCAGTGTACAGCAAAGCTAAAAAAGAGTTAAATTAATAAATAGTAAAACAATTATCATCATTATTATAAAAACATTAAAAAACTATAAAAGACAAAGCTAAAAAAGAAGAAATATAGATGAAGAGATGTTAATAATAGGGAAGCCACCTCAGTATTTCACCAATCCCTGGGTCCCCAGGCCTGATGGCACAACCAGGTTTTGAGGGCCCTTCAGAAGATCAAAAGTGATGAAGCCAGCCTTACTTCAGGGGAAAGGATATTCCACAAAGTGGGCACTAGGGCAGAAAAGGCCCATCGCCTAGGGCCCACCAAATGTAGCTCCCTAGCTGATGGGACCCTCAGCATACTTTCTTGGCTGGAACTAGTAGGACAGGCAGATGTGATCAGGGAGAGGTCCCTCAGATAACCTGGTCCCATGCCATGCAGGTCAAAACCAGCACCTTGAATTGGACCCAAAAGCAAACTGGCAGCCAATGCAACTCACAGAGCAATAATATGTGCTCTTCTAGGAGCATATATAACTGCCCATGCTGTCACATTCTGCATCAGTTGAAGCTTCCGGATATTCTTCAAGGTCAGCACTATGTAAAGCACATTACAGAAATCTAACCAGGAGATGACCAGGGCATGAGTGACCATGAATAGAGCCCCTCGATCTAGGAATGGGCACAACTGGCACACAATACGAAGTTGTGCAAAGGCACAACTCTGAAAATTAACTCTTCGAGCAGGAGTCCTAAGTCTAGAAGGACCCCCAGATTGCACACAGGGTCTGTTTGGGGCAGTACCACCCCATCCAGCATCAAAGATGCCATAGTCCTAGAACCAACCAGCAGGCCCCAAAACCTGAAGTCACTCAGTCTTACTAGGGTTCAGTTGAAGCGTGTTGTTCCTCATTCAGACCCTCACGGCCTCTAGACACTGACAGAAGATGTCCACAGCATCACTTAGTTCGCCAAAGGCAGAGATGTATAATTGGGTATCTGATGATATCTCATCCCATGATGATGGATGAGCTCACCTAGCAGCCTCATGTAGATGTTGAACAGAGGCGGAGAAAGCACTGACTCCTGCGGAACCCCACATAGTAGGGGCCAAGGGTGGGATTTCTTATTCCCAATCACCACCAACCAGAACTGACCCTGGAGAAAGGAGGTGTACAGTACAACACTGTGCCACCCATCCCCAATCCTCTGAGTCTATCTAGAAGGATACCACGGCCAATGGTATTAAAAGCCACTGAAAGGTGGGCAAGGATGGATGCACAGCCCCATCCTGCCCATGCCAGAGATCATCCAAAAGCACAACCAATGCCTTTTCTGTCCCATATCCTGGTCTGAATCCTGACTGAAAAGGATCCAGATAATCTGCTACGCAGAATGAAAGAACAAGTTCATTGGTGTTTTGTATGGAGCGATCAATCACAAGCTTTGAATTACTGACCTTCTTGGAAGAATGGAGTAATATTAATTTTAACACACTCATAGATAAATGTGATATATGATTTTAACATTCAGATAATTATTTTCAAATTATTAGCTAGGTTGCTGCCTTTATAATATATTTTACTATAAATTGTCTGTTCATCAACTAGAGGAAATATAATTCTGAACAGGTTATCTCATTGCTGTTTTTTTCTCTTGTCTCTAGAAAGGAAACGGTTGGGAATTGGCCAGTCTCAAGAAATGAACACACTTTTTCGTTTCTGGTCCTTCTTTCTCAGAGACCACTTTAATAAGAAAATGTATGAAGAATTCAGACAACTAGCTCTAGATGATGCAAAAGAACACTATAGGTAATGCTAGATGTTTTGTTGTTTTCTAAAATCAGATACAGTTCATAATTGCTTTTAGAACAGTATTAGTACTGGTGTGGTGCTTTTGAAAGAGTGGTATTGTAAAATAGAGTAGTTCTTTCAGCAGAGAAAAGTAACAGGAATTATTTTCAACCATGACACAAGCTAAAGTTAATTGCTGAATATTAGGAAGAAACAATGATCTGATAGACAATTGAAAGTTACATGGGGTCTAATCCTGCTCCGTTTTCCTTATTGGCTAGCATTTTTAAAAAAATGTAAACAAGTGTATCTCAAAGGATAAATATGTTAAAGAACTTGCCTTGCTTTGAGCAAACAATAACAAACTGAAGCATATCCTTGTTCTGAGTCTTCTTTTCAGGCTTAATTGTGTTAAACAACCTAAGAACTAGTCTAAATGGCCAGGATCCATTTTTCTCTTTTGTAAGAAAGATCGCTGAGGTATTTTGGAGAAGTGGATACACAGGAAATGAAACAGTCATCCCTTGTTTATGACTGGAAGCTGGAAATGTATTGCCTCCCAATTTGAATGTTCTATTTAGCTCCTATGGCCGAGTATTTATAAACACATTGTCTATAAGTTTGTCCAGTTTTCTTTTAAATCTTAAATTGGGAATTTCAGATGTTAATTATTCACTATATGAAAATTATTCCTCTTGTCTTGTCTGCTTGCTTAGTGCCATTAAATTACCCTCAGATGTTAGCATTTTAACATGTTAGAGAGATTTTTTTTCTCTATATATTTTAATGCCATTTATAATCTTTACTGTTCCTGCTCACTCATTGTCATGTTTTTTAAACAAAGATTCTTCAATTTCTGGATAATACTATTTTTTTTTCTTTTTGAATTCACTAGTAGTATAACTTTTAGAAATACAGTGGGGCAAAAAAGTATTTAGTCAGCCACCAATTGTGCAAGTTCTCCCACTTAAAAAGATGAGAGAGGCCTGTAATTTTCATCATAGGTATACCTCAACTATGAGAGACAAAATGGGGAAAAAAATCCAGAAAATCACATTGTCTGATTTTTAAAGAATTTATTTGCAAATCATGGTGGAAAATAAGTATTTGGTCACCTACAAACAAGCAAGATGTCTGGCTCTCACAGACCTGTAACTACTTCTTTAAGAGGCTCCTCTGTCCTCCACTCGTTACCTGTAGTAATGGCACCTGTTTGACCTTGTTATCAGTATCAAAGACACCTGTCCACAACCTCAAACAGTCACATTCCAAACTTACTATGGCCAAGACCAAAGAGCTGTTGAAGGACACCAGAAACAAAATTGTAGACCTGCACCAGGCTGGGAAGACTGAATCTGCAATAGGCAAGCAGCTTGGTGTGAAGAAATCAATTGTGGGATCAATAGCATGATGTTTCCACCCCCATGCTTCACAGTAGGTATGGTGTTCTTTGGATGCAACTCAGCATTCTCTCTCCTCCAAACACAACGAGTTGAGTTTAGACCAAAACGTTCTACTTTGGTTAGCATGATGTTTCCACCCCCATGCTTCACAGTAGGTATGGTGTTCTTTGGATGCAACTCAGCATTCTCTCTCCTCCAAACACAACGAGTTGAGTTTAGACCAAAACGTTCTACTTTGGTTAGCATGATGTTTCCACCCCCATGCTTCACAGTAGGTATGGTGTTCTTTGGATGCAACTCAGCATTCTCTCTCCTCCAAACACAACGAGTTGAGTTTAGACCAAAACGTTCTACTTTGGTTGAAACCTTTGGAGGGAGTTGAAAGTCCGTGTTGCCCAGCAACAGCCCCAAAACACCACTGCTCTAGAGATCTGCATGGAGGAATGGGCCAAAATACCAGCAACAGTGCGTGAAAACCTTGTGAAGA